TGACACACTCTTTCTTCTCGCGTTTTCAGTCACCGGAAGGAACTTGTTCGCTATTTCACAAACGCTTCGTCAACCTCTGCTTCCGATTTCTTCACCAATGGCAGGCCGAGGCAAAACCCTAGGATCCAGCGCCGCCAAGAAGGCCACCTCCCGGAGCAGCAAGGCCGGCCTCCAATTCCCCGTCGGCCGTATCGCCCGTTTCCTCAAGGCCGGAAAATACGCCGAGCGCGTCGGCGCTGGCGCCCCTGTCTACCTCGCCGCCGTCCTCGAGTATCTCGCCGCCGAGGTAATTTCCTTCAATTTTTCCTCTCGTTAATAGATCTAGGGTTTCGAGATTAGGTTAGGTTATTTTCCCCAATTTTTATATGATAATGAATAATTCCCGTGATTTGGTCTCTCATGGTTTGATTTTGCGTGGTTGTGGCTTCGATTGATGGTTTTGAGTTTTGGTTTGTGACTTCAGGTTTTGGAATTGGCTGGAAACGCCGCGAGGGACAACAAGAAGACTCGAATTGTGCCTCGCCACATCCAATTGGCGGTGAGGAACGATGAGGAATTGAGCAAGCTTCTTGGGGATGTTACCATCGCTAACGGAGGTGTGATGCCCAACATTCACAACCTTCTTCTTCCCAAGAAGGCCGGTGGGTCGTCCAAGGGTGCTGGTGCTGATGACGACTCTTAGATGAAGATTCGATTTTTCCGGAATTTAGATGTTCTTTTGTTTCGGTGCTTGTAGTTTTCTTTATCGTGGTTTGTAGTTGTAGTTAGGGTTCCTGTTAGCGTTGTTAATACAATGAACCGCCTCAAGCTCTCAAGTGAGATTGTTGAAATTTTAATAGAATGAATGCCCTTTGATACCCAATTGTTATTTATAAAGGTCGAATTTTTAATTATTTAGCTCTGTTTTGCTTTTCTGAAATGGCTTTGTCGTGTTTTGCTTTGTTGGTTTGGTTTTGAATAGGCATTGCAGGTGACTAGCAGATTAGTGTTTTGTCTTTGTATGAAATCGTGGATGGGACATAGTTGTGCTGTTTCGTGTTCTGAAATGTTTAGTTCGCGAGTCGTGGCTCGAATAGGCCTATACGAAGTGAATGGAATCTTGGTTGCGTTGTTCTTTCTTCAGCTTGCGTTTGCTGAGTGTGATGTTATGGATTGTTTTTACTATTATGTTGTTACAATTGCACATATTTTTAGTGTCTGTTGTCATGTTTTTGTTAAGGCCCTCGAAGTGTTGTCCTTGATTCTTATCCAATGTTTTGCTTGAGCGTAATGCTTGCTTCGGTTGGAGGGGGTAAGAATCGAAAGCAAATAATAGAATAAGTGTAAATTGATACTATAAGAAATTTACTCTACTTTCTTATAGTTAGGAAGTAAAGTAGGATTTGTATTTGTTTGATAGATTGGAATTATCTTTTTAATGTAGAAAATTTGATATTTTGTTGTATTTTATAAGTTGGTTTTTGTCTTAAAATAAATCTAGACAATTATATTTATTTGTCACTAATTATTTTTTAGTATATATTTAGACGTAACAGTGATATTGTAAAAAAAATTTATACAAATTTTCTCATAAGAGCGAAATCTTCTCTCAATTCGACTTAAATTCTCTTTAAACACTTTTTTTAAAAAAAAATTCTTGCTAAAACACTTCCTAATAAGTGATTTTTGGTCTTAAAGTATACTAGGGCGTGGTGTGGGTCTGAATATATGATGTGCCATACATTACACGTCCTTTTCGTTTGATGATGATGTTGACGAGTCTAGCCGCATTCAGATAACTAAAATATTGGGTTTTCATTTTGTTTCGCAAATTTTCATATTTCTGAAAATGTTCCCATTTCCTGTAACACCATAGGCCGCAATAGACGATCAATTTAACCAAAAGTAGCTAGACCTGCATTTTTCAGAAAATTTCTATGCGTTATGTTTAAGGTTAAAACCTTTCAACTCGTACTGTATGGCCATAGATAAAGAAAAACAATGAAAATGTAGAGAAAAGAAAATAAAATGTGATAATATAAGAGGCGGAAAAATTAGAAAAATTAAAAGAAAATGAGTTGTTATAAAAGAGGGTCGTGTTATTATTTTCTTTTCTATCTATACATTTATTGCTGCTTTAGGGAATATAAAAATGTAGAAATTTAGAGATTTTTATTGGGAAAAAATTATATTTTTGGCAGATTTTAAAAAAATTAAATTAAATTACAGTAATAAAAGCTTAGGGTGAGATAAAAGAATTTGGCGGGCGACAGAAGAGCTAAAAGCCTAAAAGAGAATCTAAAGGTACGCAAATAACAGTATTTTAGTTCATTTATAATTGTACATGGTTGTGCTGAGTAACAGTGAGTTTGGGAAGAATCTTTACTTTTATAAGTACTTTGATTGTAACTTTCTTACGTAGGTAGGATGCAAATGTAGAACTCATCTCAAGACAGTTTATTCTTCATCTGAGATCATGTAGGATGTTACATCACCCGGTACGGCAAACAATTGTTTTTCAGGTGAAGTCGAGAAAAACTTGGCGAAAGTGAACACTGTTTAAACAAAATGATCAAGGAGAAATAAAAACAAAAATAGGATAAAAGTGAGTTGGAAGAGGATCACTACTCGGTTAAAAAAGAATCAGGGCATGCAAGATTTACTACCGGAACAGTCACTGCAATTCATTATTCAATTTGGGAAATTTTGAGTTCTTCAAACTCAATATTCTTCCAATCCAAGGCAGATGAAATGGACGATGGTGGTGAAAAGAGCAAAATAGAGAGGTAAAGGGAAGTGTTAATTTTGAGTATTTTAAATTATAAGAAAAGAACGAGTAATGATAAATAAATAAATAAATAAAAGATACTAAAAGTAAGAGGCTTGTGTTATTGGACCAATGTATAATTGTGGGTATGAACCCAAATTTGTGGACCCAATAAGCAATGTAGTGCAAGCATCTCAAGAAACTCTGCTCTCAAATCCAAACAAATGTAACTCTCCAAAGTCTTTTGGAAACCCAAAACGAACTCTAGATAGTTGCTTGATTTCAATAACCAAAAGAACCATCTAAATGCCAAGGGAGGAAAACTGGAAAACATATTATGGGAAGTGAATAAATAGTAGTTAATTTATAAAAAAGTTGAATAATACTTGCTTAATCAAAACAATTAAGTATATCTTAATCAAGTACACGAATATTAAGAATTAAGAATATAAATCATGAGATAAAATGTATAGTGAGTCTAAATTTAAGGTAAACTATCTAGCTAAATTTCAGGATAATATAAATTTTTATTATGCCTTAAATTATTATAATTATATAAATAATAATAATAAGAGCATAATAAAAATAAATCTGAAAATATGATTTAGTTCTTAGTTTGGTTTCTATATACAAAAAATTATTAAATAGGTCCTTATACAAGTAAGCAATTCTAATTTGGTCTTTGAAATAATTAACTTTCTTATATATTCTTAATTTGATCCTTATATATTTAACGAAATTTTAATTGGTCCCCACATATTTAACACATTCTTAATTCATATATTTATATGTATGGATCAAACTAAAAATGCACTACAAATACAAGAGTCAAATACATGATGTTAGGAATCAAGTTGGTAATGTTTAATAAGTATAAGGACTTATTTTAATAAATTTTTATGCATAGAAAATAAATTAAAAATCCGTAATATATGCAAAAATTAAATCATATATTTAAACTATAAATAATAATGTCAATAATAAAATGATAGATGCTACTAATGACAGCAAAATGATGAGGTAAATTAAAAATATATATATTTTTAACTTATATTAGATTAAAGTGTTAATAAAATAAAATATATAATAGAAATATGATAATACTCGTTACCATATAACGAGTTTGGATCATTATCAAACAATTGAATAAGAAATACAAGTGTAAATTTCATAGTAAATTATACTAAATAACCTAACTTATATATAAGATTAATTATGACAAATCGATGGAGCCTAGTTTATACAATACTCATGCATAATAGAAAGAGTTGTTGGAAAATTAATTGCGTAGAGCTTCTGATCATAAAAGGTATATTTTAAGGATTTGTACTTTACTGAGGTGGATCACAATGATGTTGTATAATGGCACGAAAGGAAAATAGAATTATTCACATTAGTGAAAAAAAAATACTTTTAAAATTGAAGTTTTAAAATTAGTTTTAAAAAAAACTAATTTTAAAAGTAATGTAGTGACATTTTTGTAAATAATATCATTACTTTTAAAATCAGTTAAAATTTAACTAATTTTAAAAGTCTTTTCAAAATTGGTTAAAAGCATTTTGGTAAGTTAGGATTATATGCATTGTCATTAGTATAGTTGTGAATATTATTTTTTTTATCCTTTATTTCATTGTATGATATTTTTGTTGGAGTACAAAACAAAGTTTCACATCATTGGATCATGAGAAGAAAGATTTATAATGCATACATAGTCACTATTAGTATGAGACATTTTCGAGATGACTAAAAACAAAACCATGAAGATTTAGGCACAAAGTAGATAATATTATACCATTATGGAGACATATGTGTGTGTGAACCTCGGGTGCCCAACAACTTTTGTAGGAGAAAAGAAAGAAGACACAAGAGACTCAAGCAAAGAATGACACCTCCCATGCGATGTCTTGTGGGGGTTATCCATGGCTTAAGAAGAAGAAGATGAAGGAAAAGACTATATATGCAGGGTTAGGCTAGCCAAGATGGCACTAGAGTTAGTAATTCTCCTTCTTCACCTACATGCCATGAATTATGAAAGTGTGCCCGCATAAAAAAAAAAGAGCGAGTTTACAATAAGGTAGCAAAGAAGATTGCTAACAAGATAGTGAATACAATTTCATTGTACATATAATCCTTATTAACATGGATTGATAGGGGTTTATTAAATTATTTTTGTCTTTGGTTTTGCAATATATCTTGAAACAACAGTTCATAAAGGGATCTTTTGTTTTCCATGAAAATGACAAGATATACTCACTATTGCCATTGGGAAGCGTGAGCACTTAGGTCAAGTTTGGGAAATTAGTGGAGGTCATAACATGTAAACTTACTCAAGGGTTCAAAGTTGAAGAAAAAAGTGCACCGGATTTTTTTTAAAGTAAACTATTTTAATTTCAACAATGATATTTTTTAAGTATTTTGTTTTGAATTATCATTACTATTAACTTTTTTATTCTTTTGGTAGTCTCATAAACAAAAAAAGAAATTATTAGTGCAAATACTATATAATAAAAACAATGCATACTATTATAAATTCATTAATGGTATTTGGGAGATTTAAGTAAGTTTTATAATTTTGAGAATTCTTATTTTAAGTTCTCATTTAAAATCAGTTATGCCATAATCAATTCTAAAATTCAATCAGTTATGTCATAATCGATTTTAGAAATCTTGAATTTTAAAATCAGTTGACAAAATCATCTATTTTAAAATCGATAAAATAACTTATTTTAAAAATATAAAATAACTAATTTTAAAAGTCTTTTTTCTAGTTGAACCAATGGATGAGAATTTTCTTGAGTTTGATACTGATTGTGTAGTGTGAATATTGAAATATTTGTTGATGATCCACCTCAACTAGTGTTAAAATTATAATAATGTATATAAATAAGGAACAATTCTCATTTTATAAATTAATTTAGTAAATTTCATTTAGATTATTAACTTTCTTAAGATTATTTCTTTAATTGAGAATTAGAAACCAAAATAAATTAAGGATGGATCCATAGTTGGAAGAATCAAATGGTAGAAATTGTAAGGTGCAATTATTCCATTTTAAAATGTTGATGTTTAATGAGAGTCGATTAGTAATGAAAGCTTTAATTGACTATAAATGAAAGCTTTCTCTTAACAATTAATGATTTAGTTGGT